GATGCTGCTTGGCCTGCTGTGTTCATCCAGCCCTGCACCTTGTTGTCTCGGATTCTCCAGCATCTGCAGTTCCTACTATCTCTTGTACTTAACTGTGTTTAATCCCAAAGTCTCTCACACGATCCTCTGCCCCCTTCTCTTCCCCCCCCCGATTTGTCTCTTCACCACCCTCCCCAACCCCCAAAAAAAAACCATTTATAGTGATAACCAGGTGTAGAGCTGGATGAACACAGCAGGCCAAACAGCATCAGAGGAGCAGGAAGGCTGACGTTTCGGGTCTGGACCCTTCTTCAGAAATGGGGGAGGGGAAGGGGGTTCTGAAATAAATAGGGAGAGGGGGGGGAGGCGGATAGAAGGTGGATAGAGAAGCAGATAGGTGGAGAGAAGACGGACAGGACAAGGAGGTGGGGATGGAGCCTGTAAAGATGAGTTGTAGGTCGGGAGTTGGGATGGGGGTTGATCAGTGAGATGGGAGGAGCGGCCTAGGATGGACATGTCGTCCAAGGAATGGGAGGGGGAGTTGAAGTGGTTCACGACTGCGAGGTGTTGTCGTTTGTCACGAACCGAGCGTAGGTGTTCCACAAAGCAGTCTCCAAGCCTGCTGTATTCATCCAGCTGTACACCTTGTTATGTCAGACTCCAGCATCGGCAGTTCCTGCTATCTCTGAGTGACCATTTATAGTGAAGCAGAGTTTTTAAACTCAATCCCTTTGTTGGGATAGAATCCATAAGCACAGGAGATAAACTGTACAGTGGGACTGTGTTTCTATATCCATAAGGTGTCAACTGGCTATTCCACCTCTGGGTGCATCACTTCCAGCAGTGGTTCTGCCTTCACCCCAGCCGTACACATACATTGCTGCAGTAAGGGAGACTGGAGGAGGCACAGTCTGACCTAAATAGTCTCGCTCCTGCTCTCGCAGCACCTGCGACATGCTGGTTTCAACAGCCAACTGCACCAGAGACACTGTTTCTCCACAGAGCCACTCTGCAGCTTTGAAATATTGGTACCTTTTCTGTTTCAGGACAGCAAGATACAGTTGACTGTGCTGACTGATCGATCACAAGGAGGAAGCAGCAGCAACGATGGTTCTTTGGAGCTCATGGTACGTCTCTTCAGTTATTCTCCTTGTGGGATGGGCTGTGGGAGGGAGGGAGTATGTGAAATTGACAAAGAAAGCAAAGATGGAACCGAGAGCAATGGCTATAGTTGCAAGTGCCCCATTCTGTGGTGAATTCAGTAATGTAATTTATCCCTGTGACAGAAGCTGTGTTATTTATATATATTTAGTTTAGAGACTGGATTTTGAACTCGTGGGTTTTGAAACATGAGGGTTGGTCTGTCTATGAAGGAATTTAATAATTAGTGTGTAAATGTTTCTTAATTGTGATTTATTTTAACAAACTGTATGAGAGACACAGTGACTTCCCGGTGAGTTTTATGAACAAACATTAGGTTTCTATTAGAAGATTGTGATTGTGGAAGTGTTTGTTGGCATATGGGAAAACTTTAGAGGTTGAAGGAAGCCATTTTGGATTGAGCAGTTTTGTAGAAGTCTTGGCTGTAGCTGGATGTGTAAAATATTTGTTCCTGAAGAAGGGAAATAGTTTTAGAAATCGTTACCTCAGTGTAAGGAGTTTAATCTAAACCTTCCAGACTAGGAATGTTGGTTAAAATACCAAAGGGATTATTTGAAGCTGAGAACGTCTAAGCTCCGTTGTATGATGGTTTAAAGATGAGGTTACTAGATTAGTCATTTAAGTAATTGAGCATTTTTAAGACAGAGGTTCTTGATTACTAAGGGGATCAAAGGTTATGGGGAGAAGACAGGAGCTTGGTGTTGAGAAACACATGAGTCAAATGGCCTAATTTTGCTCCTATATCTTATGGTTTTAAAATGAGAACTTGAAGCCACTGTTCAGCTAAGTCCTATTGATGTTTTAGAGAAGGGAATTCTCTCTAGTTTTGAAATTTTTAAGTTTGTGTTATGTGTAAATAGTTTGGTTTGTTCCATTTTTTAATTTTTTTTTGGGTAGCAAACTTCTGTTTTATTGTTAAGTCCAAATCTGTAGCACTGCATGTTTGTGTTTCAGTGAAAGACCGACTTGTTAAAACTTTTAAATTTAATCAAGCCAGATTTTAGTCTAGGAACTGATTTGTGCATGAATAGCATCAGCTGGGATCAGGACAATCCCTGTAGGGAGGTGCAGTGGATCACTGAACTGTCTTTAAGCCAGAGACTCTGGGTTTCAGTCCCACTCTAGGATCTGAAGGTATGCTCATAAAGCAGATGAACCGGTTGGGTACCAATCTGCAAATTCTTCCAGCACATTACTGATGACAGATGCTAAGAGCTGGAAGAGATTCCCAGTCAACTGCAATGGAAAGAAGGTTGCAGTTTCTTCCAGAGCTGCATGTAAATGTGTGTAGGCAGCTGCTTGGACTCCTTGTGGGGGTCTGGTTGTGGATTAGATTAGGTCCTGACAGTATTGGGGGAAAGAGGGGGATTTGGTCCAGCTCCAGCTGTGCTGCGTTTGGTAAGAGTGCTGGTCATCTGTCAGCCTGTCCTGAATGGGGTGAACGATGAGCCAGCAAGCAGTCCCTGACTCCCACATTGCTGATGTTCTGTGCCTTCATCACAACAGGTTCATCGGAGACTGCTCCACGACGATAACCGAGGGGTCGGGGAAGCTCTGTCTGAGCCGGGTTATGACGGCACTGGGCTGATCGTGCGAGGGAAGCACCTTGTCTTTCTTGACACAGTCAGGGGCTCTGCTGAACTCCATAGGCTGCAGGCACAGGCAGAGTACATGGCTCCGTGGACAATTATGGGCCAGGGCCCAGGGACAGCCTACAGCTCCCGTCCAAAACACGTCGCAGAGGTAATCCAGCTCCAGGTTTGTTCTGGGTGGCTGAGGTCAAGGAAAGGGAAGCTCAGGCAGTAGGGAGTTTCAGCAGTGTCCCTTTCAACATCCCTGTCTGTGTCTGGACTACTCGTGAGCAACACCACGGGAGAGATGTTAGTTCCTCTGCCATGTCGATCATTAATCTTCCTGTTAATACTTAGGTGCCTCAGCTGTACCCAAGATCTACATTAATACCTACCAGCAGATCTAAAGAATGCTTTGGAAGAGAGAGATGGAAGGGCCATGACCTGACACTTTCATTATCTTAACATGGAGAAGCTGTTTCTACTCGAAACCAGGTGTAGGATTTAGATACAAAGAGTCATTAATAAACTCAATGGGTAATTCAGGAAAAACCATCTTCAGCCAGAGAGTTTGAAATTGAGTATCTCATGGCGCGACAGAGGAAAATGGCATTAAACATGTCTCCATGTTTAAAATAACAGGGAGAAAAGTAGTATTGTAGGGGAAGAGGCCTCATGTTGCAATGTTGTACTTTTGACACAATTTCATTATTTTCTCTGCTATTCGTGTGACCTTTGCTTGTTTTCCGAACATTTCCAGTTCTCAGCCCTGAAGGAGGAGCTGCCCCCTAACCTCCATCTCCTAACCCTGGCTCAGTGGGATTCCCAGTCCTTCCTCATCCGACTGGAACACCAGTTTGAAATGGGGGAGAGCAGTATCTACTCAAAACCCGTCACTGTGGATCTAGCTGTAAGTTCTCTCCTTTCTGGTTTTGGTAGTGAGTAGGGGACAAGACGATGGAGAACCATTGCCATCAACTAACTTGTAGTTCTAATAGTCTCTCTCTGCCAGGAATGAAAGGGAGAGTATGATAGGATCATGAAGTGGGTTTTCCACTACGTCTATCCTGTACAATAGTATACAGGGTTAGAGATGGGACGTGTAAAAGGAACTGAAGTGTTCAATCAGCTATGGTCATATTGAATGAATGAGCTTTTTTGTCACATGCACTCGAATGCATGTGAAAAGCTTGCAATGTTGCTGCTTATTCTTTCAATCTTGTATCTAAGCTGGTGTCATAAAGTCCAACATAAGAATAAAAAGGAAAAAAAGTACTTCATGTACTTTTCACCCCAGTCCATGCCAGCACCTAGCCTCCAGACCCGCACCAGGTTTCAAAACTCAAGGCCTTGCCTCTAATTAAGAAGGGACTTCCTCCCTGCTACAGCCTCCGGTCTGGGACGCTCTTTCCCATTCCCCTCTTTTTAAAAAGAGGAAAAAGGAAGAGAACGGACAGAGCAGAGGAGCTCCAGCTGGAGCATCTTACACTGCTGCGATCTTGGAAGATAATGAAGGGCAGGTTTGATAGGCTGATCCAAACCCCAGCCTGAGCAGGCAAGTGAGGGAGGAAGGACTGGGGACTTGAATCCACATGCTGGGAGGTTTTTAAGCTGTGCACTGCAGGCTGGGAAGCTGAGGGTTATGGAACACAGTTCTGTTGAGTCTGTCACTGATTCATTGTTTGAATGATCTGTAAACCCCCAGCCAGTGAGATACCAAGAGTTCATTCTCAGCCAGTGGGAGGTAGGTATTGAGTAGTCAGGGTCCCTGACCTGTCACTTGATAACAACATGCAACTCCTCAGAGCAAAGGCATCATCTAAATTTTTGCTGATGCCAAGGGTAATCAAATATCCCAATGTATTTACTTAACCCGCCTGAGACTAACTGCTTGGGAGAAGGGCCAGGGCCTGTCCAACATCCCATAGCTGGAGGCCCAGCAAGAGAGGAAAGTTCTTGTTGTGTACCAATAGCCTTACCCTGGATTTCTCTCTGCTTCTCCCTTCAGAATTTATTTTCAGCTTTTAAGATCACTTCTGTCGAGGAAATGTCTCTCGGTTTCAACCAGCGCAAACAGGATGTGTCCAGACTCAGCTGGAAGACCAGACCAGGTTGGTTGTGCAGCTTAAGGGTCAGAAACACATGGCCCTACTGTCACAGTCTGAAATGTGTTCTCCCTGTGGTTGGGGAATTAGACAGCAGAGCCTAAACATTAGAAATGAAATTAGGAAACACTTCTACATAAAAGGATGGAAGTAGTTTAGAACTATTCACAAATAGAAATTGATGTTTATTAATCTAATTTCTAATTAACTATTAACTTCTGTTGACCAAGGGTGTGAAGGGATAGGGTAGAGAGCGCTAGGTAGATGGAGTTAGGTCACACTCCCTCTCAAACAGGCTGAAGAGTTCACTGTGTGACTTCTGGTATGGAATATAAAACAGTGTTGCAGGGTAGTTGGGTTGAATAGCCTGAGTGCTACGGACAGAAATAGCTTAAGGAGCTCAGCAGGTCTGGCAGCATCGCTGGTGAAAATGGAGTTAACATTGAGTTCAATACGATTCTTCACAACCATAGGTGAACTAAATGTTATCTGTTTCTCACTCCACAGATGTTGCCGGACCTGCTGAGTTTCTCCAGCATTTTCCTTTGATTTGACTTGTTTCCATGCTGTGTGTTCTAGCTAATATTTCTGATGGTCTCTTATTGTCCTCTTCTGAAGGGCGGCGTGTCAAGTCAGTTTCCAGCCACAAGGCTAGCTCGGACTACGTAGTGGTCCTCAATCCGATGGAGATCCGCACATTCCGTGTTCACATCAAGTACCTGTAACTATCCTATACTGGGAGGAGCGAGGACTGCTGGAATACTGTGAATGAGCCAGTCAAGCACATGGAAATTCCAAGCTTGTCCATAGTGGTTTTATCAGGGACAAATGTCATTGTCAGGTTTGAGTCTGCTGCTGGTGTTTTTACACTTCACTGGATGATGCCTTAACGTGACAATGCTTTTCATCTTTATTCTGTCTTCACTTAAGTGCCTGGTCACATGTAGAAGTTTATCCACATTTTAATATACTTATGGAACAGTCTTCTATCAGATCCACTGTTCCATGAAAATGAAGGGCACTGCCTGGATTGAGTAGAAACTTTCTCTCCTCCCCCTCCCCACTTGGCCGTGCCTCTGTGATAATGTGTCTGTACCCAGGTCCCATGCATACCAACAGCCAGAAATCAATCCTGTAACTGAGAACATCCCCCTACTTAAATTGGCAACTTTTAAAAGCATCTGTTGAAAAGCCACAGGTGCCTCCCTCTTAATTAAAAGCCCCGATTCAGCAACATAAGTGAAGGACTACAATAAGTTTCTATATTAATGCTTTTGTGAAATGACATGAATGGAAGCTTTTTTTAAAAAAAACAACTTATTGAATTATCAATGCAGTATTCAGTACCTATGAAATTTGGTCAATGCTTTGAAGTATTTTAATCACAAAACTTTGATTTTTTTTTTTCCATTAATGTACATCAAATGCCTGGAAAAGGTAGGTATGGAGGGGTAGGAAATATTTTTAGTTTTTCTCCTAAGGGAGACTACAGCCTGAAGAAAACAGCAGCCTTCCACATGGGATAGGATCTTCTGTGTATATGTCTGATTTTCTATTTAAATCTTACATAGTTGGAGCATTCTACCAGGGTCCAAATCTCCATCCCTGCACTGGGCTGTTAGGTCAGCCTAGTTCTCTAACTGGGAGAAGTGACAGCCTTGTTATATTATTGTTGGACTATTAAAGCCAGTGACCCCACATTCAAATCCTGCAGCTGGTAAGTTTGAATTTACTAAAAATCTGGAATTAAGAGTCAAAAGGATGCCCATGAGTCTGTTGTCAAGTGTCAGAAAAACCCATCTGGTTTACTAGTAGCCTTACCTGGTCTGACTTACATGTGACTCCAGACTCTCAAGCAATGTGTTTGATTCTGTTGCCTATCCCAGAAAGAAATTAAAATAATGGCCTAGCCAGTGACACTCTGAACAGGTTTGTTTGGAAATATGACACATCTCTGGGGCAAATGAAACTCAAACCAAGCCTACCAGTTTAGAGGTAGGAACACTACCACTGCATCACAAGAGCACATCATAAACTGATGTTCAATGACCTATCTGAATAGAGTTTAGGTAAGAGCAGAACAATGATAGCTGCTTAAATAAAACAAAAACTGCAGTCCAACACATGATTAGGGATAGGAGAATGGAACAAGTGAGCTTCTTTAAAAATGCAGTTTAATTATAAAATATGCATGTCAAATCTTACACTTTACATTTGGATCCTGCCATCACTCTCTGGTGGGTTGTTATTTGCTTTCAGGAGTTCGGTATTTGCAATGTGACTAGTGACACAGAAAACTGCACTTCTGATGCCTATTGGTCAGTTCTCGTGGTGGTTGCTTCCTGCTGACACTCCTCTCCAGAGGCATAGTATCCCTAAAACAGAGGCAGTAGATCAGCCAAACAAGTACATCTTAATAATTCCCCATCAGTAATTCATAGTGCAGCACTGAGAAAACTTCAATCTGAAGCAGTAGACTTAAAATGATTTACAACGCCTCTGATTTTGAGTGGCAGTTATTGAGCGAGTCCCAAACCCTCTTGGTGTACCTTCTCCACTGCCGTAGGCTACTTCCAGCAAGATTTCACCAGGGGCCATTGTCTGGCCCAATGCTATCATCCATTTAGGAACGTCATTTTAAAATAGATTCAGTCTCAAAATCTACATGAATTAGTGTGTCCCTCCCAGAACATGGCAATGAAACAGCCACTCTCTACAGGGTTAGAGAAATGTTTCTAACAGGTTGTAGGATAAGCCACAGGCACAATACAAACGCACAGTGGAATGTTCAAGTTGTGAGATCAATGCCAAAGCAGGCAAGTGACCCATTAACTACTGCATGCCTGTTGTAAACCTTTCAACAGACACCTGCTCTTTATGTATTAGCTCTAATCACCAATGTTCATATGTTTCATATCTAAACAAATCACATCACCAGCTGCTGCTCACCTCTCGGAATATTTTACAGGGGATAGTCTTCCCAGAATCTGGATCGCTCAGTTTCAGCTTCCGCTTATTCTGCAGCCGTTTCCTTTTCTCTTCCAAAGTTTGTGAAATTCCTCCACTAGGAGACACAAAGCACCAACTCTTCAACATATCCATTCAACTCCTTCAGAACCTCATGCTACTTTTAGACCCCAAAAAGCCTGCTGAGAAACATTGCACCTACCAACAGTGACTGATACAGAGAGAAAGCTGAACCAGAAGGAGGACTGTTCACCTTGCAATTTGTCAATCAACCTGTGAACCCTCACTGCAAAATCAAAGAGACAGGAATAACTCTGGCTCAGGAGCAGTACCAGAGTCAGTGCATACACAGTGTGTCTGCAGCAAGACTGACAGGTATTGAGGAAGTGGACTATGCTAATAGGACACCCAGGGAGAGAGAGCTGCAGGCCACTCTTGGAAATCCCTGTTCACCCTACACATTTGGTCAATCGTGGAAAGCAGTTAGATGGTGAAAAGCAGCTACTAGTCTCTTTCTCTTTCTCTTCCCCCCACCGGCAGCAAAATAGGCCACTTTTGAATTATAAAGATTTAAATTTAAGTTGTATTGCTCCAGGTTTTAAACTACCTGCCCCCCAACTCGCCTTAAACACAGCCCCTTCCAGCCATGGTGCCTGTTACCATCTAGAAGCTTACCCAACTTTAGCCCTCGCCTTTGGTCCCCAGTTGGCTTCCGGGTTTTCCTGGAATCTTTTTAGGCCTTGCTTCCTAGATTTGGGATTTGCATCTTCCCGGATATCAAAGCAAGCCTGCAGACTGAGAAACACAAGGCTAGGGTAAGCTCGATTGCAGTGGGAAGAAAAGAAAAAAAATGGAAGTCAATGTCACAACGACACAAACTTATTCTGAAGGAATTGAGCACAATCAACAAGTCTATACATTTAAAAAGAAAGTTTACATCATTTATCTGGTTTTTAAAAAGAAAATGAGAGACATAATTCTACCTCAGAAGAGTAACTAGGACACAAGGGAAAATCAACTTTGGAATTGAAAAACTAAACTTCACTGCCCCCCCCATCCTAGTAGCCAGGTGGCATGACATTAACATCACTGGATTGGAAATCTAGAGGTTCAGGCTAATATTCCGGGTTCTGACATAGGTTCAAATCCAACAATAAAAACCTCAGTAATTATGATGATGAAACCACTTGATTAACACAGAAACCCATCATTTACAAAAGGAAATCTGCTGTCGTTGCCCAATATGGGGTGACAGGGGACTCTCGATCGACAATAATGTGGTTGACTCCTAACTGTCCTTTGAAATGGCTAAGCATGCCACTCTGTTCAAGAGCAATTAGGGATGGGCAACAAATGCTAGTCTTGACAGCAAGCCCATGAAAGAATAATGAAATAATGGGGTTATTGATTACATTCACTCAAGGAGTTGACAAGAGGCTTGTATGTGAGAGGTGTGGAGTAGTCACCCGTTTCCCAAATTGCTGATATATCTCAATGTTGTCTTCTGCAGGAAATTTTACATAATGAAATGAATCAAAAAACCAACCACTTCCACCATCTCTCTCGAAAACCCGTTCCACAGACTCCTAGCTTGTAGGAACTGCCTCAGCAGTGGGACAGTGTCACCATAGAGATCACACTGAAAAACTTCTGGATAATTTTCTAATCAACCTGTTCAGAGATGCTATTATATGGATTAGGTGGGACTTTAAAATCCAGTCCTCCTGCCACAGAGGTAGGGAACACTACCACTGCACAAGAAGCCCTCCCTAAAAGTTTTTAACACTGATCTCCCAAGACAGGAGCAGGAGGCAATGGAAGGTAGAACATAGAGAAAGTGGTTCTCAGAAATCACACTCCACAAGGCGTTCAGATGTAATTGCAGTTGGATACACAATTCAGGAGGTAGGTTGTGTTGACAAGGGCAGGAGGGAATAGGACAGATATTGGATCATGGAATATAAAGAGGGCCAAAGATCAGTCTGCAGTCGTTTCTTATAGCCCACTTGGAAACCTAGAAAAAGGTAAGGTACCTTGCTCTTTCCTATTTCTCCACACTTCTCCCACCTTTAAGAATTTATCCAATTCCTTTTTGAAATGATTATTGAATGTTTCCACTGTCCTATCAGGTAGCAGTGCATTCCAGACCACAACTCGCTAATAAAATCCGTGTCCCCATCCTGATCTTCTGACAGGGACAGGCTCAGCCGAAATCCTTTCAGCATTTCAATAACCTGCATGTATTAGAACAAAACGAGCAATGACTGCAGGGAAAACCGCACCTCTGCAGCCCACTCAGAGGTAAGTGATGAACAAGAGAAAAGCTACACCTTGAGAGCTCACTGAACCTCAGGCTAAGCTTCATTTATCTGCGAACAGAAACACAGGCACGGCATCAATAGTGGACACTGGTTACTGCCTCTGCCATGCCTCACGCTTTATGTCAGAGCTAGACCTCAAACACAGGGAGCATCTGCAACTGGGGCTTAATTTGCAGCTAATAGCCACACATTCGCATATGAACCACAACAGATACAGGAAGAACTTTGTTGTGCCCTCACACAAGCCAGGCAAGGGCGGCCCAGGCAATTTCTAACAACCCTATCCTCACCCAAACACAGTATCAACTAATTCTGTCCAAAGCAGGCCTAGGAGTTGGGTGATCTGTAAAAACCTGGGCCCACGTGGGGACGGTGCAGCTACACGTTCACTAACAACTTACACAGGCTCTTTGCCGAGGATTCGAAAGGCAGGACAGCTTTCAGACAGTTTCTCTCGTTTCACTGGGTGGATTTTCTCCTGCACCAGAAACAGAGCTCACTTTAGACAGGGTTACAGGAATGATAAGCCAGACCTCCGGGTTAAGTTATGAAGAAAGATTTTGCAAATCAACCCAGTTTTCTCTAGAATTTAAAAGGTTAAAAGGGTGATCTGATCGAAGCTTTCAAGATATTAGCAGGAAGAGACAGGGTAGACAAACTATTTCCACTGACTGGAGATTCTAGAAATAGGGGCAGTCTGAGAATGGAGGGCCAGAGTGTGTGTGTAGGAGAGATGTTAGGAAGCACTTCAACACACAAAAGGGTAGAGAGGTTTGGAACACTCTTCCACAAACAGTAGTGGATGCTAGATCAATTGTTAAATTTTAAATCCGAGATAGATTTTGTTTGCCTAACTCCACATACCTAGCTTTGCCTAGAAAAGGTATTCAGGAATATGGGCCAGAGGCAGGAATATGGAGTTAGGCCACAGATCAGCCATGATCTCATTGTACGATTGAAGAGGCTCAAGGGGCTGAATGGCCTACTCCTGTCCTTGCGTACCTCCAACCACTCCAACCTCAGGTAACACTGCCACCTTCAGAATGAGTGCACAAAGCTTTGTGCTCTCATATTTTCAGGCCTTGGCAGAGCGTTAATTTTCATTTAACCATGGACAATAATGTCACTCAAACATCTACAGAATCAAACGTACCCAGCACCTCATGATATCCCAGATCACCGAAGGTGGTGCATCAGTTTTAACAGCCTTTTGGGAAGCATGTGAAAGAGACACTCGATAACCAGCGTGCAGCAAAGCAGACCTAATAGGAGGTGGAGGATGAGGAGGAGAGAGATTAGAATCATTTCTGTATATAATTCCATTCAGCACAGCCTTTAATTTTTATGGGGAAAGAGGTTTGGAGGTCAGTTCGTTCTCAGCTGAAAATGAAGACTCATTCCAATCAAAACCAGAACTCTCGCAGGACAGGGACTGCACAGGGTTAGGATACAGAATAAAGCTCCCGCTACACACTGTCCCAATAAGCTCTAGCCTCAAGCAGCACTCCCTACATGCCTACCTCTGTTGTCCTTTCCAAAACACCAACCCACGCTTGTATGTGTTGCATTAAGCAAATACCAACATGCACTCTGAGGCAGGTTAGTACTCTGCTCCTGGCAAAGTAGGAAAACAAAAAAAGTCTTTTCTAATTGGTCTGTCTGTCAGCCAGCTCTGGATTGGAACCCAGGAGCCATAATATACCAACCTGGTAAATCCTTTTCAACTGCAAGTACCCCCTAAATCACACACTTCTGTTAAAATATCAAATCACCTCATACAATCCTTTCTCCAATAATATTCCTGTTGGAGAGTTACAACCAGCTCAGTAACCCATCTAACCCCGTGGAAGAGTACTTTCTATAGAAAGTACAATAGGAACATCACAGATGGCTCGGCCCACTGGGACTGGGAGTACGCCATTCCCCACCCAGAGCTGCTCATCTCCAAGGATTATAAAATTACCACAACTGTAATGCAGGAGTTACCAACTTTAAGTTTTTTGCCTTTTAATTAAAAAGGCAGGGTTTACCTCTTCAACAGGGAGACAGTGTGTTAGGGATGCATTTATAAAATCTCCAACATCCTGGGCCATGATTCATGATACAGGAGAGGGCTAATGATCCTACCTCATCTGTAGGAGTGATGGGGTATTACAGCGGATGATACTGCTCAGGTGGTCCATGGTGTAGTATAAAGGGCAGTCTGGCAACTCCTGGTAAAGAGAAACCAAATTTCAAGAGAAGCTTAAAATGCACCAATGGCTTACGAGTGAATATGTTCCCTCCACATTTTTTTTTTTGGGGGGGGGGGGGGGGGAGCGGGGAAAGAGAGAAGGTAAATGGAACAACACTTCAGTCAACATAATAACCTCGACAGACAAACTCCAGGCAGAGGGGCGAGACTAAAGGCTTTAAAGAATAGGTCTTCAGAGGAGACAGAGATATAAAAAGGGGTTTAAGGAAGAAAACTCAAAGCACAGGGTCTAAGTGACTGAAGACAACTGCCAGTGCAGGGTCAAAGGGAGGAGATTGGGTGTGTTCAAGAAGGTCAGAGAATCCAATGAAGAGTTCTGGATCGGGCTGGGATATGTACAGAGATATGGAAGGGGCATGTGGGAATTTAAACACCAGAAGAATTTCACTTGGAGGTGTGGAGGGACCAGGATCCAATGTACTTCAGCAAGAATAAGGATGAAGTGTACAGAACGTGAGGATGGCAAGAATTTTTAAGAGCCAGTGAGGAAGCAGTGGCAGTAGATAACGTCTTGGGGAGGTGGAAGTACGTGATCTTTGTGAAGAAAATACCGAGATGTGTGATCAGGGATGTATAGGACACCGAGGTTACAGCCTAAGAGAGGGAGAAGGAAATGGGAGGGTTGGGAGTTTAATGGAGACTCAAGCCAAGTGTTATTACCCATTTTTTTTGCTCACTTCTGTCCCAGTGTTCAAGAAATGTCTGTATTTCTCTCACCTTATGCTCCCCATTCCCAGGGCCCCAGTGTTGTTGAAACGGAGTTGAGAGTTTGTTCTGAATTGCTGACTGGAATGGGCTATGTGGAAAGATGAAGAGAAATGTTTACATTGGACAAGGGATAGGTCAGAGGGAAATCACTTCATAAAATGGCTGCCTTATTTGACTCTTCCACTGTTGGAGGAGGCAGTGACCTTCCAGAGTAATTCAACTCAATCCCAAAGTCTTCATTCCTCCAGCATGGTGTCATCTACCCATACAGTGCACTCACTTAGATTTCTCTCCCCGCCACGATCCTTTCCCCTCAGCAAACAAGGAAACTTTCCAGGAGCTCACCTCCTTGGCCATGCTGAGGATACCCAGGATCCTATCGGACGTCTTGAACCGCTTCGGGTTTTGTTCAACTGATTTGAGAACTCTCTCTACAAAGTCTTGGTCGTGGATTTGCTCAGCCCAGATTGGGCCACCAAGCTGAAACCAGAACAGAAACATCATTGTGTACTCTCTCTCACACCACACACCACCCCAGACCCTCCCATTGGGAACACACACTTTTACACACTGCTGTCTCATTCAGTGCCACACCCTCCCACCCCCAGCAGCTCATTTAGGGTTTGATTCCACAGGTGTCAGTGCCATGCCTCATAAAACTCAGTCAGTGACTATTCAGCAAGACAGTGCACTTCATTACCAACAGGCTTTGTAGCCCTGCTGGCTAATACTCCACATGAACATCATTCTCACACCATACAACTGGAAAGTTTTATTTTAAGTTGTTGAAAACAGACAACAATAGGAGCAACCTAATGGAGATTTTAAACTCAAAAGGTTTTGAGAGAGTGGATCCAGAGAGAATGCTGTCTCCTGCAGGAAAGAGGAGAATTAGAGGCCGGCATTAGAAAACACAGAACAAGAATTTGGGAGAAGTGTCTTCATTCCCTCAGAGAGGGAGGTGATAATATGGAACTCACTCCCACAGGAAGGGACTACATTCAAGCAGAAACTTGACTTACAGACAAGGAGAAAGAAGTAGACAGAAATTTGGGAGGACACCCAAATGGAGATAAAACACCAGCATGAACTGGCAGGGCCAAGTGGTCTGTTTCTGTGTTGTATGACTTGTGTAATCTTATGTAACCTTCATTTAATGCTATCAGCATATGCCATATTCTCTCCTCACTGTGTTTTATCCTCAAACTAATTAGTTTTAAACTGAAAAGCATTAGTGAACCAGATGAGATAACACTGTGTATAGCTGGATGAACGCAGCAGGTCAAGCAGCACAGGAGCAGGAAAGCTGACGTTTCGGGTCTGGACCCTTCTTAGAGAGAGCGAGAGCGAGCGGGGGGAGGTGGATGGAAGGTGGGTAAAGCAGCAGGTAGGTGGACAGGAGACGGACAAGTCAAGTACGCGGGAATGAGACTGGTAGTTAGGAGATGGGGGTGGGTCAGTGAGGTGGGAGGAGCGGATAGGTGGGAGATAAAAGACGGACAGGTCAAGGAGGCGGGGACGAGATGGGCTGGTTTTGGGATGCGGTAGGGGAGATTTTGAAGCTTGTGAAGTCCACGTTGAGGCCATTGGGCTGCAGGGTTCCCAAGTGGAATACGAGTTGCTGTTCCTGCAACCTTCGGGTGGCATCATTGCGGCACTGGAGGCCCAGGATGGACATGTCATCTAAAGAGAGGGAGGGGGAGTTAAAGTGGTTCGCGACTGGGGGGTGCAGTCGTTTGTCACAAACCAAGCGTAAGTTGTTCTACAAAGCGGTCTCCAAGCCTTCGTTTGGTCTCACTAATGTAGAGGAGGCCATAAATCGGGAACAACGGATACAATATACCACATTAAACAGATGTTCACCTGCACATCTGCTAATGTGGAAGGTTTTCTTGGGGCCTGGGATGGGGGTGTGTAGGGGCAGGTGTAGCACCTCCTGCGGTTGCAGGGAAGAGTGCCGGGGGTGGTGGGGAGTGTGGAGCGGACAAGGGAGTCACGGAGAGAGTAGTCCCTCCGGAAGGCAGATAAGGGTGGGGAGGGAAAAATATCCTGGTAGTGGGGTCAGATTGCAAGTGGCGGAGGATGATGCGTTGAATCCGGAGGTTGGTGGGGTGGTATGTGAAGATGAGGGGGATTCTGTTTTTGTTGTTATTGCAGGGGAGGGGGGTGTGATGACTGAGGTGTGGGAAATGCGAGAGATGCAGTCGTGGGCGTTTTTGACCACTGTGGAGGGGAAGTTGCAGTCCTTGAAAAAATGAGGACATCTGGGATGTCCAGGAGTGGAATGCCTCATCTCGGGAGCAGATGCAAAGGAGGCGAAGGAATTGGGAATAGGGGATGGCCTTTTTGCAGGAAGGTGAGTGAGAGGAGGTGTAGTCTAGGTAGCTGTGGGAATCAGTAGGCTTGAAATGGATATCAGTTTCCAGGTGGATGCCAGAGATGGGGACAGAGAGGTCCAGGAAGGAGAGAGAGGTATCGGAGATGGTCCAGGTGAACTTAAGGTTGGGGTGGAAGGTGTTAGTAAAGTGGATGAACTGCTCGAGCTCCTCGTGGGAGCACAAGGCGGCGCATGGGCCCAAGCTATGCCTGCCTCTTTGTAGGATACGTGGAACAGTCCCTTTTCCGCAGCTACACTGGCCCCATCCCCCACCTCTTCCTCCGTTATATCGGAGACTGTATTGGCGTCGCCTTGTGCTTGCTGCTCTGTTACTCCCTTGTCCCCGCCACACTCCCCTACACCTCCCCCCCATCAGCCCCATTCCAGGCCCCAAGAAAACTTTCCACATCAAACAGATGTTCACCTGCACATCTGCTAATGTGGTATACTGTATCCGCCGTTCCCGATGTGGCCTCCTCTACATCGGGGAAACCAAGCAGAGGCTTGGAGACCACTTTGTGGAACACTTACGCTCGGTTCGTGACAAACGACAACACCTCCCAGTCGCAAACCACTTTAACTCCCCCTCCCACTCCTTGGATGACATGTCCATCCTGGGCCTCCTCCAGTGCCACAACGATGCCACCCGAAGGTTGCAGGAACAACACCTCATATTCCGCTTGGAAACCCTGCAGCCCAATGGTATCAATGTGGACTTCACAAGCTTCAAAATCTCCCCAACCCGACTTCATCCCAAAACCAGCCTAGCTCGTCCCCGCCTCCTTGACCTGTCCGTCTTCCCTCCCACCTATCCACTCCCACCTCTGACCAACCCCCATCCCAACTCCCCACCTACTCTCACTTTTATTGGTTCCATCCCCGCCTCCTTGACTGGTCTATCTTCCCTCCACCTATCTGCTCCTCTATCCACCTTCTATCATCGCCTCACCCTCTCCCGGTCTTTATTTCAGAGCCCCCTTCCCCTCCCCCATTTCTGAAGAAGGGTCCAGACCCGAAACGTCAGCTTTCTTGCTCCTCTGGTGCTGCCTGGCCTGCTGTGTTCATCCAGCTCTACACCTCGTTATCTCAGACTCCAGCATTGGCAGTTCCTACTATCTCTAAGTCAGTGAACCAGATGAGTTTTGACATTCAATAATTGATTCATTGTCTCCACTAATAACACTATTTTTCAATTCAAGAATTACTTTAACGAAATGAATTTAAATCCCACCAGATGTGGTGAGATTTGAACACTGGTCCCTAAAACGTTACCCAGGCCTCTGAATGACGGGCTCAGCAACAGAGGCACTACTCCCCCTTTCTGACACTTGAAATATTTTGACATGTCAAAAGGCACTATATAAATGCAAATTGTTATCTGAAACTTCCAGTCTTTGCATAAAAGCAGAATGTCAGAAAACTAACAACAATCAGACGTTGCTGGAAAAACTCAGGTCTGGCAGCATGTGTGGAGAGAAAATCGGAGTAAACGTTTGGGGTCCAGTGACCCTTCTTCAGAACTGAAAAAAATTAACATCAGTTTTACCCTGTTTTGAAGTGATCGATTTTCCTTTAAATGGATGAAGGCTTTCACACGACTACAGTGCACTTGTACCATGACAGTATTAAGGAGCAATAAAAAGCAAAATGCCATATATAAGGGTACTCTCTTACCAGATGCCTCTGGCAACAATGCTCACACGCTGCTCCCACAGGTGGTCCTGAGCTCGCTGTGTATTTGTAGCTGGATAAGAACAATATTATCCCAGGTTACTACTAGAAAAGAAAGATTTTTGAATTATAGAGGGCTTTCACAACTTCAGGACGTCCCAAAGCACTGTGCAGCCGCTGAAGTACTTTTGAAATGAAGTCACTGTTGTGATGTAGGAAATGCAATAACAAATTTGCACACAGTACGCTCCTGTAAACAAAAACAGAAGCTGCTGGAAAAGCTCAGCAGGTCTGGCAGCATTGCTAAAGAGAAAGGCAGAGGGTCCAGCGACCCTTACTCAGAACAGATGGTAACTGGGAAAACGTCGGTTTACATGCAGAAACTAGGGAGGGGGATGGGGTAGGGAGTAAACAATAGAATAGAGCCTTTAGAGAGAGAAGAGCAGTTGGATAGACAAAAGGAATGGATAACGATTTGGCTAGAAGGGTGAATAGCTGTTAATGGGGACTGTTAGTGACTGACAATAGGTAGTGTGTAATGGCAGGCTATGTGATAACAAGGCCTGGTGTGTGGGGTAGGGGGCTGGGACATGGGAGAGTTTAGGTCTTAAAATTTAATCGAACTTGATATCAAGTCCGGAGGGCTGCAGGGTCCCCAAGCAGAAATTGAGGTGTTGTTCTTCCAGCTTGCGTTGAGCTTTGCTGGAACACTGCAGCAAGTCAGAGACAGATGCTGGCCAGGGAGCAGGGTGGTGTGTTAAATTGGTTTCAGAGATAGTAGGAACTGCAGATGCTGAGATGACAAGGTGTAGAGCTGGATGAACACAGCAGCCCAAGCAGCAGAGGAGCAGGAAGGCTAACGTTTCAGGCCTAGACCCTGGCCCAGACCCTGGCCCGAAACGTCAGCCTTCCTGCTCGGCCTGCTGTGTTCATCCAGCTCTACACCTTGTCATCTCTGGTGTGTTAAAGCGGCAGGCAACTGGAAGCTCAGGGTCTTTTTTTTTTGCAAGCAGAATGTAGATGTTCTGCAAAGCAGTGACCCAGTCTATGCTTCATTTCCCGAATAGAGGGCACCACATTGTGAGGAGTGAATGCAGTCGACTCGATTGTGGGAAGTGCAGGTGAACTGTTGCTTCACTTGGAGTCCAGTTGCCTGCCACTTTAACACACCACCCTGTTCCCTGGCCAACATCTGTCTCTGGCTTGCTGCAGTGTTCCATTGAAGGTCAACACAAGCTGGAATAACAACACCTCATTTTCCGCTTGGGGATCCTGCAGCCCTTTGAACTCAATATCGAGTTCAATACTTTTAGGGCATAAACTCTCCCATGTCCCAGCCCCCTACCCCACACACCAGGTCTTGTTATCACATAGCCTGCCATTACACACTCGCTGTTGTTAGTCACTAACAGTCCCCATTAACACCTATTCACCCTTCTAGCCAAAGCTAGATAGTTATCAACTCCTTTGTCTATCCAACTGCTCTTCTCTCTCTTCAGGCTCTAACCTTTCATTTACTCCCTACCCCATCCCCCTCACTATTTTCTGCGTATGAACTGACATTTTCCCATCTACCATCAGTTCTGGGGAAGGGTCGCCAGACCTGAGGCGTTAACTGATTTTTTCCCTTCATAGACACTGCCAGACCTGCTGAGCTTTCCTAGCAAATTCTGTTTTTGTTCCCGATTTACAGCATCCACAGTTCTTTCCATTTTTACTCAGCTCCCATAAACAATCTTGTCACAAAACGTACAAACTGCTTCAGTGATGTTGAAATAAATATTACACAAGAGACGCTGGAGAATTCTGCTGCTGTTTAAAATAATACCACAGGATCATAGCTTAATGGTTCATGTGATGTTTCACCTCCATCAGTTCAACACTGGGAACATCAGGATCATTTTCTGCTTCTTCTCTGGGAGTTGGACATGTACGTGTAATGTTCTAACTCTGAGAGGCAAGTGTCACCCACTGGGCCACATTTGAACTGAACATCAGCACTGTAGCAAAGCAGGACGGGTTCTTGTTTGATTGGGCAACTTCTCCCTCCCTCAGGAATAATTCCTTTATGGGAAAGTGGTCAAGGAGGGCACATTTCTACTTATTCAGCATCCCTGCTGCTTTCCCTCAGTATCCGCAACAACAGATGGATTAATTCAGTATAAGAATGAATGAATGCACGCACTCGAATTTCTCCATTACTTTTCATAATCTCAGAGGGTCTTAAACTAAACTGGACAAAGGACTGATATTGGCGACGCTGGGATCTTGGGAGACCTGATGGGTCATCCACTCAGCATTTCTGGCTGAAGGTGGATAATTTAAAAGAAAAATCACATTGTTGAGTGGCTGAGGGACAAATATTGGTCAGGACTCTGAAGGAGAACTCACTTCTGATTCTTTGGATAATGCCTTGGGATTTTTTTGTTTTTAAGAGCCTCCGAGAGGTCTCTCTTAGCTAGGCCAAGTAAGCAGCAAGGGTGCAGCTCAGAGTATCCTGGGACACAGCTATAGTCAAGAGGTCAGTGAGAGAGAAAGAAATGGACAATGTTGTATACTTACAAGAGGAGAAACAGTCACCTACTTGTTACCATGGCTGATCATTTTGCCCATCCTCTGAACGTGGAAGGTGCCGCAGCCCACACAGTGATATATCAGAGCCTGTTTACTGTAACAGAAAAATAACACTCAGGCACACAGCAGCTGAGAGAACCACCTGCTCACGCTCAAAACTAAGCAACATCAATAATCTCCCCCATCGGAAAGCAAGTTTAGGAAATGCTGATCATAAAAAAGTCAATAGCAATAATACAGCTAACAGACAATTAGAATGATTTTATTGTTCTGGGACAGTGAAGAAATCAGGACCAAGCCACCAGTATCACCAGCCTCAGTCCAGATGTTTTTGTAGTAGCTTTGGGTGAAGTTTTAACTGAATCCAGAGAAAACCATTTCTCCAATGGGTCCCCCGTTCCCTAAAAGAACAGATTCGTACTGGCCAAGCTCCTGCCCCTTGGTGTGGGTGTGGCAGTGGCCGTGTGTAAATCTGACACTGACCTGTTAGCATGAACACGGGGCAGAGGGCAGGGTCTGGGGTCAGTGCTGACACGGTCCCAATCCTCACATTTGTGTGTATGAGGAGACCCCAGCACTACTGAGCTGGAACAGCTGCTTGGACAGCGTACAAAGAGAAGCCTGCGAGTGCAGGACAAATCTCAGGGCAGTCTGCTTCATGTGGACAACAGCACGTTTAAAAGCAAACAACCTTAACTGGCTCCAAGTGAACAGTAGAGGATAGAAACTCAATTTCAATTGACAAGTCTTTCCCAGTTGTGTAGTCTCCTATAAACAGACTGACTAGGCCTCACCCAAGTGACTGTACCTGGCAGATGCTTTCACCTTAGCCTGTCCTGTGAAGACCTGGACAAACACTCTAATGTAGAAGTCCACACTGACAGAGAGGAGAGGAACAATGTATCGCTGGTAGCAGTTTGCACGAAGATCCAAATTGTGTAGGATGATGCGCAAAGCCTGTGGGGAGTAGAACAAGAACAGGAGATGACAGAGAGGAAACAACAACACATCAACCAGGAGAGCATCGGAATCAACAGCAACTCACCATTTCGTGACAGAACTTTGACTTCAGTGACATGGCTCCATACTTGCTGTAACAGGTCTCCCCACTGTTCCCAGCCATTACTGCCATATCAGTACACGTCACACAGAGAAGCCCTTTTTTAAAAAAAAAAAAAACAACAGATGAATGAATTATTTTTTGACTCCACTTCACTGTAATCAGGAGCCTCCTCTGGAACTCCAGTGAGAATGGCAAACATCTATAATTCTATTCTTAGACAGTGAGTTAGCAGAACATGGAATACTCCCAGTGCCTGACAGAGATTCTCTCCAAAGGGGAGCAATGCTGCCTGAAAATTCTTTGATGCATCAGACTCTCCAACCAGCAACAGTATCCAGGTGATAACAATCCCTCCTGCAGGTCAGCACAGACTGGAACAAGCACCCACTCATGCTCTTAGGACAATGACAACCAGAGAAGTCACCTTCTACAGGACGTTATCCACGAGTTGCAGAATGAGCCCAGGACATATTTCACCCGCAATGCCCCATATCCACACTACCCTGGAAGGGTGGCCCCAGAATGCCAAGGACCAGCTCTGGATGATCACGATTGGTGGAATCTCATGAGGCAAACAGCCTGCGCTCGGCCCTCACCTCCTTCGCTCACTGCTTGAACAGCCGCGTCAATGAACTGCGAAGGACTTCCATATGGATCCAGGTCAATCACATCAAACCGGTCCTGCCTCCTCCTGGACCCGTACATGAGCATGCTGCAGAGAGACAGACAGTCAGAGACAAAACCTCCCCCATCTCCTTGGTTAGTATTGCCTACAGTCAGACAAAAATTCTGACCCTAAGGACTGGAATAGAAATAAAAACAGCAGATGGATAAAGCACAAGAATCAACCAGCGCAGAATCCAAATATAAATTTGCGAAAGGTGAAGCAATAATCTGCAGGACCATTTTCAAATTAAATTGTTGGAAATCTGTCACCAATTGGACATCCCCATGCTGTACTAACTGTTAAAATATCATCTCCCTGGCCCTCGAGAGGCTGAGGCAAGTGACCCGGGTCTAGAGGGGACAGGTTCAGGATGAACTTGAGCACATGGTCCAGAATAACACCCCAGTGGCAGAAGGGATGGCTTGCAGTCAAAAGTGGCATCTTTTGACTGATCTGTTGAACGAAGACATTGCTGCCCTGGGCAGAGGTAAAAGACACAATTCTGAAGAGGAGCAGGAGAGCTCTGCCCAGCATCCAAGGTCAACACACATCCCTCAAAATCAACGGCATTAAGACATCATTGTGGCAGTTTGTGGGATTTTGCAGTGTGCAAATGGACCACTGCCTTTCCTAGAAGGCCCTTGTGGCACAGTGGTAGTGTCCCTACCTCTGAGCCAGGAGGTGTGGGTTCACGTCCCACCTGCTCCAAAAGTGTGTAATAAACAACTCTGAACAGGTTGATTTGAAAATAAAAAAAAAAAGCCTCTCTTTCACAACTACTTCATCAATTGTAAAGTGCTTTAGAATGTCACAATATCGTGATAGAGGCTGCAGAAATCCAAACGCTTTCATTAACCTGCATCAGACTTTAGCCAGGAACACTGGGTGGAAATGGAAGACAGAGTTACAGAGTCACAGAGTCAAAGAGTCTACACAGAAAAAGGCCATTCGGTCCATTGAGTTGTGCCAGTCAAAAAAACAGCCACCTATTCTAACCCGCGGACAAGGGAGGTGCAGTTGTAGTATGGCGCACTGACCTCTACATCGCCAAGGCCAGATGCCAACTCTTCAACACCTCCTCCTACCACCCCCTTGATCATGACCCCACCCCCGAGCACCAAACCATCAACAACCTCATCACCTCAGGTGACCTCCCACCCACGGCCTCCAACCTCATCGTTCCCCAACCTCACACTGCCCGCTTCTATCTCCTTCCCAAAATCCACAAACCTGAATGCCCTGGTTGACCCAATGTCTCCGCTGCTCCTGCCCCACCGAACTGATCTCCAACTATCTGGACTCCATTTTCTCCCCCTTGGTCCAGGAACTCCCTATGTCCGTGACACCACCCACGCCCTCCACCTCCTCCAAAACTTCCAATTCCCCGGTCCCCAACACCTCATCTTTACCATGGACGTCCAGTCCCTATACACCTGCATTCCCCATACAGATGGCCTAAAGGCCCTCCGCTTCTTCCTGTCCCGCAGACCCAACCAGTCCCCCTCCACTGATACCCTCATCCGATTAGCCGAACTCGTCCTCACCCTCAACAACTTCTCTTTCAATTCCTCCCACTTCCTACAGACAAAGGGGGTGGCCATGGGTACCCGCATGGGCCCAAGCTATGCCTGCCTCTTTGTAGGTTACGTGGAACAATCCCTATTCCGTACCGACACTGGCCCTAAACCCAGTTACATTGATGACTGTATCGGCGCCACCTCATGCTCCCACGAGGAGCTTGAACAGTTCATCCACTTCACCAACACCTTCCATCCCAACCTTAAGTTCACCTGCACCATCTTTAATACCTCTCTCACCTTCCTGGACCTCTCTGTTTCCATCTCGGGCAACCACCTGGAAACCGATATCCATTTCAAGCCCACCGACTCCCACAGCTACCTAGAATACACCACCTCCCACCCACCTTCCTGCAAAAATGCCATCCCCTATTCCCAACTCCTTCGCCTCCGCCGCATCTCCTCCCAGGATGAGGCATTCCACTCCCGTACATCTCAGATGTCCTCGTTTTTCAAGGACCGCAACTCCCCCCCCCCCCCCC